AAAAAAAAAAAAAAAAAGAAAGAAAGAAAGAAAAGAGGAGGAAGATTTTATAGTAGAGGGCCATCTTTCTACTGTTGGCTATTCTCCACTTCTTTCCATTTTATACAGAAGCAGAGGCAGCAAAAATGTTTACAAGGTGCTACAATGATACCATTTAGATAGATGGTTTGGTGTTAATAGGAACTTCCTTAGGAAACCCACTTAATCTCTTTATAATAAAGTAGGATTTCTTAGTCCTTGAAATAGGAACAATTTCTTGAGATGGAAAATCATTCATGTGAAAAGTGAACTTTGCAAATGAGAAGTTTATGCTGCAAGTAATTTAATCCTTTTAAGCAGACTGAGCTGAGAAGTAACCAACCCCTTGAGTCAAAAACTAACCATGCTATAAAAATCGTGGGACTAGAAACATGTCAGGAATAAAGTGCTTCTGGGGGTCTATTTCATTAAACAATGTCTAAAGTAGACTGCAATCATTTTTTTTTCCAGATGAAAAGGAGATAAAAAAGAAAAGTGAAAGGCCTAGATATAATTTGGAAGAACTGAACCCTTCAGGACACTCCTCTTAACTGGGGGTGGCCGAATACTACTCTGCATCAGAATTCTTGGGAAGCAACCAGAAGCACTGAAAGGGAAAGGAGAGAGAAAAATGACCTTCCAGCCTTGAATTCCTAAAACTTCAGAGTATGTTGCGGCTTAGGAAAGCACACGAACCTCTTGTTACAAAGCCTTCAGACATGTAATATCAGTCTGAGATTAATTCTGAAACAAATTCTAGGGTTTGTTGAGTCAAAGACATAATAGGAATGACGGAAATAAAATGATCTGGAAATAAGACATTTAAATTGCACAGCACCCACTTCAGTACACTGAAAAAGTGGAAAGAAACAGATCCTTAGTCAGCCTGCAGAAATATTTCCAGCAGCTTTTCAGCCATGTGGGAACAGGAACAGATGAAGCCTGTGAGAGCCAGAATTCTCATCTAATTCCAAAGGGGTTTCCGGCTTCTCCCCAAGAGTTGAATGAGACTGACTGGCATCAATGTGAGGAGGCCTTTCTATAAAATTTAATCATATAGTTTTAGTTAAACAGAAAATGGTAACTGAACATTTGCATGATTTGGCTAGTTCACCCCAATAGAGTTGAAGGGGAGGCAGCGAGAGAACAATACTTCACAGGTCTAACACTGGGTCAGATGATAGCAAGGATCCCTATAAGGTCCTGGATGATATTCCACCTCTGTTTTTATTTTATAGAGACTGTTGTACAGCAAGTGTTCTCTCAGTGTGACAATAAATCTTATGTGTTCAGAAAGAGAAGAGGTAAAGGGCACAGGTGTGGAGAAGGCCAACTCCCTTTGTCACAGCTTGCAGTTTCCAGTTTATAAACAATTATTTAGAATGCCAGTGACCACAACTATCCATGAATATCCCAATTTCCCTCAGGTTCACATGCTTAGTCTCAGAAACACTGTTTTTTATGTAAGAATTTGGCCAAGTGCGGTAATCCCAGCACTCTGGGAGGCCAAGGCGAGTGGATCACTTGGGGTCAGGGGTTCGAGACCAACCTGGCCAACATGGTGAGACCCTGTCTCTACTAAAATACAAAAATTAGCAGGGCGTGGTGGCACATGCCTGTAATTCCAGCTACTTGGGAGGCTGAGGCACAAGAATCACTTGAACCTGGGAGGTAAAGGTTGCAGTGAGCGGCGACAGCGCCACTTCACTCCAGCCTGGATGACAGAGCGAGACTCTGTCTCAAAAAAAAAACAAAAAAGAATTAAAAGGTATACATATTGAACCCAAGTGATTTTTGTAAAAAGATTACAACAAATATCTCAAAGATAATTTTTCTCTATACAATCAGAATTGGCCAACCAACTATTTACAGAAGACCAACTACATACCAAGGTGCTGTGCTAGGCACTTGGAGAGACAGGAGCTCACTGTGAAGTTCACTATCTAGTGGGGAAGACAAATTAAGCAAATGCACATAAAATCCTAACTGTGCTCTGAAAGCATAGAATGGGGAGATATGATGGGGAAGTCAGGAAGGATGAGGAGGTCAAGAGTGGTAACTGGGCTGTTCACAGTGGCTTACGCCTGTAATCTCAGCATTTTGAGAGGCCGAGGCAGGTGGATCACCTGAGGTCAGGAGTTTGAGACCAGCCTGGCCAACATCATGAAACCCCATCTCTACTAAAAATATAAAAATTAGCCGCTGGGTGTGGTGGCTCATGCCTGTAATCCTAGCACTTTGGGAGGCTGAGGCAGGCAGACCACCTGAGGTTGGGAGTTTGAGACCAGCCTGACCAACATGGAGAAACCCCATCTCTACTAAAAATACAAAAATTAGCTAGACATGTTGGTGCATGCCTGTAATCCCAGCTACTCGGGAGGCTGAGGCAGGAGAATCACTTGAATCCGGGAGGCAGAGGTTACGGTGAGCCGAGATCACACCATTGCACTCCAGCCTGGGTGACAGAGCGAGACTTTGTCGCCCAAAAAAAAAAAAAAAAAAAAAAGAGTGGTAACTATGGTTGGCGGCCGGGAGAAGAGCGTTTGGACAGATGGAAAAGCGTGTGTGTCTGTGGAGTGTAGAAGCCTCCAGCCTCTGCTCTCTGCTTGAGGGCAGAGGACTGAGGGTAATGGCAGAGCAAGACTACACAGTCCTTCATACCGGATTAAGGATTATAGTATTTATCCTAAAAGCAACAGAAAGTTTGAAGCGACTGCTGTAGTGTGAGGAACCTACATGGAGGGTGGGGCAGGTGGGGCAGAGACAGAATGGATGAACACAATCAGTTAAAAGGCTCTTACAGAAGTCCAGGCAAGAGATGGTGGTAATCTGATCATAATGGTGGTGGTGGAGATGAAGAAATAAGGTCAGATCTGAGATTTAGTCAAATGGATGGGGTGTGCTGATAGATTTAAGGTGGGAAATGGAGAAATTTTCTAAGGTTTCCAGCTGGGATAACTAGGTAGATGACAATACCACTTACAGAGAAAGGGACCTGGAAGAGGGCCAGGTTTGGGAAAGGAAGATCATGAGTTTAATATATTAGATATGGCCATGAATTATGAAAAGTTCTTACTTTAGCCTCTGAGGATAAGAAGAAAGGCAGAAAGCAGAAAGAAGTTTTACCTTGATATCAGCTCTGAGCTCAACCAATTGCTGCTCTGACATTTGAACAGCCACATGAGTCATCTTCTTTAGAAGTTCAGCCTTCTTTTGTCGGCTGAGCAAAATTTCCACTGTAGAGGAAAAGTGAGTGTGAACCTTATGTTACTGCTAAATAGGATAAAGAAGAACTAGAAATATAAGCCTTGCGGTAGGTATTTGGTCAGCCAAAGGCTTAGTTGCCCATCCATCCAGAAAATAAAAATATCAAAAGTCCGGTCTCTACCTTCCATTGGGTCTCTGAAGGCAGTTAAGTAGTAAACATTTTTTTATAAATCACAAACACTCATAAATCATTTGTTATTTCTCCTTCTAGTCAAAAAAATTTTATCAAGATGCATATAAATTAAAAAGGAAATATGCACACATAATAAAAAATATTCATCTAGAGTAAGTTGAGTATAAAATGAAAAGAGCATCTCTCTTATTTCTGATTTTGTGGTCTCCTCTCCAGAGGAAACCACTGTTCACCATTTCTTACGTACACTTCCAAATATTGTCTATGTGCACACAACATGTATACATATGTATCTCTCCTTTTTCCCTTCTCACAAATGGAAGAATATCATACACATGGTCTTTCCTTTACCTTAGCTATTTTTACTTAATATATTTTTAAGTTTATTCCCTATTACTACATCTGGATCACCTTCATTCTGTTTAACAGCCACTGAGTACGGGGATATACCACAATTATTTACCGAGTTCCCTAGTGATGGGTATTTAGATTGTTACATCCTTTTAAGAACCACCTTCTATGGCATGCTTTCTGATATACAACTTGGATACAACTTGGTCATGGCAGAGAACAGACAATAAAAATCTCCCAGAGAGACAGGGGCTACAGTGGAAACTGAACCAAAGAAATCCTCCCTGGAAGCAGATAAACCACCCAAGGAATGTTCACTACTACCAGGGAAGGGACTCTGCTATTCCTTCCCGCCAGCAAGATTTGATCATTGCTCTTCCAAGTGGGAATTTTTACTATAATCATCCTTTTCTTTCTCCAACTGTGTAATATTGGAGAAGGGGGCATTTAGCCTTTCTTTTAATTTATGAGATCCCATCCTTGGAAGATCTGAAATTACTCTGAAGACCTAGCCTTTCAGCTGAATATTAACTAACTAGACGAGACTTTGGAGGTATTGCTACTGAGGAGGTGGTGAACATATTCTCATTTTGGAAAAAAGAGGGATACTGGGTAGGGGAGGACTGTAGCAAAGACCGTTAGTTGATAGAACACAGTCTTTCCAACTATATTCAAGAACATTCAGGGCTATCAGAAATCCAATGTTGTTGGGTACCAACAAAATTAGGTAAAAAAATCCGTATTTTCTGGCTTTGCTACAGATGAAATGGTCATGTGATACAGTTTTACCATTGAGATATAAGCAGAACTCAAAGGGCAGGGTTTACAGGAGAGTGTTTTAAAGGAGTCTTAGCATGTAACATTTTACTCCTTCTTGACTGGAGCCTAGGGAGTTGTCTTTTGACCATAAGCATACTCTCAGAATGGTTGCGCAGAAGGATAGAAGAACCTGGGTCCCTAATGTCATATTGGAAATGTCCTGCCAGCTCTGGGTTGCTTACCTCTGTACTTTTCATTTCCTGAGAAAAAAGGACACTCACATTTATTTAGGCCACTCTGTTCCATGTAGTCAAACTGAATCCCTAACTGATATACACAGAATCCTGTAACATACTGAGGAATTAGCCAAATTCATGTCAGAAAAAACCAGAAATTTTAAAGAGTTACACCAGGTATTACAGAGACCTGGATGTATTTAGCAAGTTTACTCAGCCCAACTGCCTGCCACAAAGATGCACACATGGGCTGCCTAGACCCAAGTTACACTAATCAGTCAGGGCCCACTTTCTCAGGAGTCAGGAGCATGCCTACAA